GGGGCGATTAATTCATAGAGCGTTCACATGTTCTGGGCATTACATCTCCGTGTCTGAGGAAATTATTAATTTATTATTAACGTCTAAGCTAACGTCTTAACACCCGAGGCGTCCTGGATGTTATCAGCGTTGATGACCGCTTGGTGCCAAGGCAAATACATTTGAGATTTAAATCTTGTTAACAATTCCCCTCGCAGTAGTCTCCATAGGACGATTACAAACTAATGGAATAATTTTCTTTGCATTTGAAGACACAATATTTTACTGTTTGTTACGTTAAATCTAAGAAAATCGGAGTTTTAAAACTATTTCTGATTTAAATATATATGTTTATGCAATCTAAAAGTACTTTATAAAGTATAACATGTTTATTTGATGGAGTATAACATATTTTAACTCGATTGAATTTTTTGCAGTTGTTTTGTAATTAATTCGACAATTAATTTTGATTGCTTATTAAATAGATTGTTTTTCGTGAGAAATACATTTTCGATAAAAGTATTCTACGTGTCTATTGAACGTAGCAGCCCGGTTGAACTCTGCTTGAACCACGCACGCCTCCGAACCTACTGCTGCTTATCTAGCAGCGTTTGCCTAGGGATAATGGACCTGACAAGCATAATTTCGCGTACCCTCGTGCCTCGACCGCTGTCATAAGCGTACTCGACGGTATTAAGTCGGGTGTTAAGGCGCGGAGAGAGTTCGCCCGGCGTGGACGGCTCAAAGGTTTCCCTTCCGTTTCTCGGTGGTCCAGCACGCGCGATTAGATCGTCAACTGCGGGATAATTAAGGAAGACGGTCGGACGAAAATCCCCTTCTCGCCCTCGCGGCACCGCCCCGCCGGTCGCATGCATATTTAACGAGTTGGCGAGGCCGCGGGCGTGGAAGACGCTCTTCTTCCTTTGGCTCTCGTGAAGCTCCTCCGTCCGGAAATTGCTGAAGTTTCACACCCAAGAGCGGCAGGAGACCGAAAGAGCGGCGACGGCCGTCCGGGACGGTCTTTCGCGTCTGGACGACTGAAATCAAACTATTGTGCCTCGTTACGGAAGACTCCGCTTTGTGCAACTCGTCGAAACGCGGCAGCGAAAAGTTAAGAAAGGAAAGAGAGCTCGCGGGTATAAGATCAATCGGTCACGTTGCGTTGAGATCGCGAATTTAACGAGTAATGCGACTTCGATCTTTTGTCACATAAATCATCACGGTTTACTTTGATGTTACGTTGTCATAGACGTGATATAAATTATTCTAAAATGATTTTATGAAGACATAATTTTCTAAAAACGTAAAAAAAATTAAATTGCACAAGTTCAAACGATTATTTCAACTTTGATATACTTCTTAACGCACAAATCTCTTGTTTTAATATAATTTTCTTGTTTGTAGCACCTATTCGACATTCACTTTTGTGAATATAAATATCGAATTTCGCGTATCTGTGTATCTGTAAAGCAAAAGGGTCGCAAACGATATACGTTGGAATTACGAACAAAACTGGCTACAATTATACTGGTATATCAATACCAGGTGGGAGTAGGATCAAAAGTGGTGCGCGATAAGCAATTATTAACTATATCCGGTAACAGCGATTAAGCCCTTTCCGTATCAGGCGTAAAAGCGTTCTGTTATCGACATAGTCGTGCGTCATCGCGCAAACGATGATTATTTGTTTCGACTGCGGCGACGAATGCATTTGTCAGCGCGTGCTTCGTGAAACCACGCATTTGCCTCAAGGGCGTCATCGTTCACCAGAACCCCACGTTATGTTGCTCCCTTGAACGAGAGAGAGGGCGAGAGCGAGAGCGCGCGCTCCCGTAGGAGGAAAGAGAGACGCTCGGCTTGTTCGCATCCCAGTCGGTAGGTAGGTAGACACTCACACCAAGATGAAACCACTTCATCGCCGTTTAAGGCAGATAAGCAGCAGCTATCCGTAACCTCTCTTCAGCTGCGAGAAGACCGGGCTTCCTCGGAGGCGCTTGGAACCCGAAGTGAAAATTTGCGAGACATTTATATACGCTGCTGGAAATAATTGTTCTATCCTTTTAGAATTTCCGTGCATCAACATTTCTAGTGTAATAACATATTCTTTTGACTTTGAAACTCGCAATAAACAATTTGTATCGAGAAGTTTGATAAATATACAGTTGCCGAACGAAAGTTTTTGGCTAACATATATTTCGTCTAAAGAAAAACTAGTGCGACATATACAGATTTTGTCTAATAAAGAATCATTGTAATATTTTTTTACTCATATAAAATCATTTTATTAAAATTTTTCATTATTTTTAAATTTTAATCGAATAAAAGAGATGGTTTAGTAATAGTTTGGCGATTAATTTTACCGCGCAGAACCCATTTTATCAAAAATTAATTTTTAATTTCCGCGTTTCGTAGATTAATGAATTTGACAGAGTTCGAGCGAGAGAAACAATAAATACATAAATAAAAATCAATAATTCTATATATAATAGATAAATATATAAATGAGAAACGAGTTAAAATATCACGTGGAATTAAATTTTTTGGACAACTAATTTCTTATGTATTGGAATGATTTTTATTTGGCCGACCTTATAATCTAAAGCCAGATTTTTTTACGAATAAATGATGTTATTTTTATATCTGATATTTTTCAACCGTTTTAATTAGAATAGCTCGGGTGTAAATGAACGAAATAACATAGGTTATTCCAAGAGTCATAAATATGTGCGATCGTATAACGGAACTGACAGTGAAGCTTCTGTCCACAAGAAGCGGCCGTAAAGCGAGCGGCAAAAACGCGACAGCGCAGAAAACATTGAAGGAACTAGGAAGTGACTGCTAATTGCCGTGCAGCTGCAATGCTATCTGCACTCCCTATTTGTCGGGTCGACCCGTCGAGCTTATTTTATCGCCATAAAAAACTTGCGGAACTTCGGCTCTGTGCGATATTCATCTGCCGCACTCACTTCCGGTTCTCCATCCTTATCAACGTTGAATGGGGATCCCGAGAAATGCAATTTGCGGATATTTAAGGATCTTAGATGATGCCGTTATTTTTCTTCGATATCTACGCGGGTACATAAGAAAGTTTTGAGATTTCAAAAAGTTTCCTACTCTGTAACGCTAATTCTTTTCACAGCGGAAACGAATACTAACCGTGGGAACGTTTCCGCCAAAGATATGAGTTTGAAAAGACCATAGTGACATTTATTTATAGAAACTTTAGAAAAGTTTTGAATAATTAGTAACTTCTAAAATAAATTTACGTGAGCAATTTGCAGTCTATTCTAAATCAAGCTTGCGTACTTTTTTGCATTGTCGAGTAAGAAATTAATAATCGCGAGATAAAAAAATCGTAAGACGTTTCTTGTATGTATGATTCGCGCGGAAGTCGGTGACTTGGGGCGCAGTTTCAAGTGGAATCTACGACGAGTCTGTCCATTGTTCCACGTATCGGCAACCGGTGCATGATCAATGTTGGTAAACTATTCGGCGCGATCTGCACGTTGGAGGACTTATGCTGATGTCGACCGTTCGTTCTCCAGTGCAGACGCGACCGTAGAAGCACCACTCCTCGAACAATCGCTCTAAGATTCTATGCTCGCGGAATGGCCGTTAATTTATACCGAATTACGAGCCGAACCCCTATTATCGGGTGCGACATGTGAATCGAAAGTTTGGCGCCTGTCAACTTCGACGAGTTTCTGATCCCTGTTCCGGTCTTACTAACTCGCGCATTGTCTCGCAATCGTCATTATTTAGCATCGAACCTACATTTCATCGTCGCCGAGTACGATATTAATGCACGGTGTTCCTAAGCCCTTGATTAAGTGTAAAGATATATGGCATATCAATGAGAGTCGGCAGTTATATAATTTACACGAAGAGATTTAACTTTTATTCAGAGAATATTGTACTTAATAGAACAGAACTCGCGAACTCTTTTATAACATGTTTAATAATTGGCATTAAAAATGTTCTATTATTATCATCAAATTAGTGAGACAGTTTACATGAGAGAGAGAGAGAGAGAGAGAGAGTTAATCTATCTGCAAAAAATTTTCGAGTTTTAAGCTTTTGTATTTTTGAAAATCTCAACAGAAGAAAATTAAACGCACGATCAAAACATACGAATTTTTTATTAGCTTAAGAAGAGAAGCAAACTGGGTTGCGAAAATTTCAACAAATACAATACTTTGCATACATTCAATCGAAAAGCTCCTACTACGATAATGGTGCTCGCACGTGTAAAAATCCCCGTATCTTTTTCCGAACGTTTATCGGAATCGTGCAATCTTCTCTTCCATTTCCCATCCACGGAACGATCGACGAGCGAGCGCGCGGCTCGCAGCGATTCCCGCATAATCTCGCGGATCCGTTATTCTGTCGCAATAAACAGGCCACCGTTAATGGGACGAGGTAGCACGCAGGCTGCGTAGGCGTGCGGAGCGAGACTCCCGCACATTCGTAGCGCCGCTACGCCGGTAAAATAGTAACAGCAGATGGTAACAGCAGGGATGAAAGGGGGAGGATACCGCGGGAAGGGTTGGCGGCTGCCTCGGTGGCGAGGCGAAGCAAGTTGTATCTCACAGATCTGTCGCGTGATTAAGCTTATTAAACGCTTAACTCACGGCGGGCTGGTTCTGCTCTCTGTCTCGCCCCCCCCCCTCTCTCCTCTAGCATTTCGCGTTTCGTTTGCTCCAGCGCTTGCACCGCAAGCTCTCCCTCGTGCCGTCCCTATCTCCGTGCCTCTCGTCGTCCGTTACCATAGTTTTGCAGGCTGGTGTCGAGGCGGACTCGCGGAAACGGGAAGGGCGGGGGGACGATGGGTGCAAGGATGATAGAAACTAGGAAAGGAGGGCCGGCGAGCGAGAGGGTCGGGGGATAGAGGCAAGACTGCCAGCAGCCCTGCACACCAAATCATTGTTATTACGGAATATTACGCGGCTGTATCAGCCGTGCAGACTCCGTAGCCAATAAAGTGCGGTTACGTCCCTAATATGGTGAATCTCAATTTTCAGCGCCTGCCCTGCGAGACGCTCAGGACTCCTTCCCTTCCGCGGGAGCCGTGGAGACGCGGGGAGACGGAAGACAGAACGACGCCGGAAAGGTAAGTGAACGACGAAAGAAAAAAAAAAAGAAAGGATGAGGCGCGTTTGCGTCACGAGTTCAGTCGCAGATTGAGTTGCGGCACGGTGGCGAACCGCGGCGCGTGTTACGAAATTAATCCGCGCGGCTCGTTATTACGGCAGTTACATCGACCGCGCTTTTGTTGCTGAGCGCATCGAAACGCCGAACAATTCTTCTTTGTTAATGGCGTCTGTTTACGATATAAAACTGTTTGTCCGCGATAATGGCCGTCGCAATGCGTACCGATAATTATTTCGAATTACGAAATCGCGGAATGGGCTTTTACACGGAATTACGGAGCGCAATCATTCTCGCGTGCATGAACGTCGATCGCGGGATGGCCGCGTTCTCCGATTATTTTGCCGGCCGATTCGTTGCGCCGGCCACTAATGGGGAAACAAAATCGCACCTTTGATTACGGTGGTATCTGTTATCGTACGCGCGCGGCAAAGAGTCTTGTTGTGGTCGGCCGATGAGAAAAATACGGCTAATTAAAATGCATCTGCAGGTGACAAGTGAGAAACATACGAATAAATTAATGTGAGATAGAAGCTTTATTATATTTTCTAGATTGAAACTCACAGGGATGATATCTAGGACAATATAGTTAAAGGAATAAACATCGAATCGTAATACAAGAATAGATAATAAGTGTTTAAACGTAGAAAAGTATGTTGAGCCAATAATAATGCAGTTGAAATAGGTGAGCAAAACGGACAGAAAACTGATATCACGAATATCCAGTTTGCAATTGTACAAAAGCGCCGCGCGACAAAGCAACTAGCCGTGTGCCGATTTTCGCGGGCTCTTTACCTCAACAGCGGCGGTAAAAATCCTAGCAAATTTTCAATATGACGCGCACCAGATTCGCGCGGAGATAATCTCTCGTTTTACGCTTTACAATTCTCGTTTCCGGATTCGCGTATCACAACACGACGTTCGCGCGGATGTAGCCGTTCCTCTCGCCGCGAAGGTCGGACGTGACCCAGCCATCGTAAAATTCGGCCGCCACAGCAGCGCCGGATTTTCTGCGGAATATAACGCCGATTAGCCGTGCCGTCGCTCGATAAAATAATTTATCGAATATATTTCAATTTCACGCGTATTATGCCGCCCCGAAAGAGTAATTCAATGGAAAATATAAATATTCATTTGCGGGGATTTAAAGCGAACCATTCCACTCTGTCTCTCCCCAGCCCCTCCCCCCTCCC